GTTAGCAGGAGAATAAAATTCCTCTTCTCCAGATTCACTCCAGAAGATCAACGAATTGCTATACACGAAGTTATTCTACATCAGTCTCATTTGCGACCACGTTCCGACCGAAGACAAAGGTGAACAGACCATTACATTAAAATTCTGCAAAAATCGGAAGGGAACACATTTTTGGCCCCACCTTCGGAAAATTCAGCCTACATGAAGAAACATCAGACAACAGCATGAGGTTGATTGACTTCGCGGTAGCAAAAAACATGGTAGTCAGCAGCACCAGATTCAAGTTTATCGATATACACAAGGCCACCTGTATTTTTCCCGATCGAACAACTAGAAAACAAATCGATCATGTTGTGATAGACGGAAGGCATTCATCCAGTGTTTTACACGATATGCGATGGAGAATTATCGGTAAAAAAGGAGAGAGGAGAAACGTGTTTCAAAAAAAAGAAGAAAGAACAAGAAAAGCTTTAGCGTGAGCAAATCGAGATGTACAGGAGTCAGAATGAAGTCCGGAAATTTTACCAACGAGTAAAACACCAAACCAAAGGTTTTGGTGCAGGCACATCCTCCTGTAGAGATAAAGATGGAATCCTGGTGCAAGATACAGGCAGCGTTTTGAACATCTTGAAAAGCTTCTGGTATCAAATAGTGGCGGAGAGGAAGATACCCCAGAACCAATAAGAGATGATGGTATAGAGTGTATACCACCTAGCCAAGATGAGGTCATAAAAGCAATTAATCGGCTCAAGAACAATAAAGCAGCAGGAGCCGATGGGTTACCAGCCGAACTATTCAAGACTGGTGTTCAGATGCTGGTCAGGAGCATGCACCAGCTGATTAGTACAATTTGTTTAACAAGAGGAATACATGCCCAATGATTGGAACCTCAGCATCCTGTGTCCCGTGCACAAAAAAGGAGACAAGACGAATGTGCTAACTATAGAGGAATTAGCCTTCTTCCCATCGTATATAAAGTGCTATCCAGTGTGCTGTGTGAACGATTGAAGCCAATGATCAATGACATTATTGGACCATACCAATGCGGTTTCAGACCTGGCAAATCCACCATTGACCAGATTTTTACTCTGCGCCAAATCCTGGAAAAGACCCACGAAAAACACAACGACACATACCACCTACTCGTCGATGTAGTTCTCAAGTTTTTATATACCTTAGTACCGCCATAAATAAAACGAATGACATCAGTTTTGAAATTCGGAGAAGTATTGTGATGGCCAACAGATGCTACTATGGTCTAAGTAAGCGGTTTAGAAACAAGGCCACCTCCCGTCAGACCAAACTCACATTTTACAAGACGCTGATACTACCCATGCTGTTATATGGATCAGAAGCATGGGTACTTGTGCAAGCGGATGAGGCAGCCCTTGGCGTCTTTGAAAGAAAAATTCTCCGAAAGATCTGCGTCGACGGTGAATATCGGCTTCGAATGAACCACGAGCTATACAATTTATTCGCAGACATCCACAGTCGCATTGAGCTGCAGCGAATACGATGGCTAGGCCATGTTGAGCGAATGAATAAGAATGGTCCAGCCCAAAAGGCCTATAAAAGCGAGCCTACTGATGTTTCCCGTAGAAGGGGAAGGAAGGAATCAGATGGAAATACCAAGTAAAAAACAACATCTTGGAACGTGGTCTTTCAAATTGGAGGAGATGCGCACCAGATTGAGGCGCTTGGAAATCTATTTTAAGCTCGGCTTATGGAACAAAAGTTCTGTAATAAGCCAGCTAAGTAAGTAAACATTCGTTATGCAAAATTGTGTCCCAATCGGACAAATATTGAGAGTTTTGTGTATCATTCACACAAAATCGGACGAAACTGTATATGGGACCTATATCTAAAACGATTTTAACAAAATTTCGCAGACATCAGTCTGGACCTAATTCAGTACTCTGTGCAAAATTTTGTCGCAATCGGACAGTTGTTGGGAGTTTGGTGCATCATTAACAAAAAAATTGGACGAAACTATATATAGGACCTATATCTACATCTAAATCGATTTTAACAAAACTTCGCAGACATCAGTCTGGACCTGATTCAGTGCGCTGTGCAAAATTTTGGCCCAATCGGACAAATACTGGGAGTTTAGTGCATCATTTACATAAAATCGGACGAAACTATATATGGGAGCTATATATAAATCTGAACCGATTTTCTCCAATTTCAATAGGGTTCGTTCTTGGACCAAATAACAACCAAATTTCATCCAAATCGGTAATAATTTTTTATTTCGTTAACATGAGTCTTTCTCTTCAGTCACATCGTTTATTTCCTAATCGAATACTAATTAAAATAAAAATTTGTCCGAATATCTTAATGGCGTCTATGCTTAAGTTTACGAACTGTCTTATAGCGATAACCATCATCACCAAAGACGGCAGTCTGTTCGGGAACAGAAACAACACTGATGACTTCTTCGGTTTGAGATTCAGATGGAGGCAAATATTCGTTTGAGGGAAGTTCATTAACATCGCGACGACGACGATAACGGATACGACGTACGGTCTTGTAACGATAACCATCATCAGCCAAGACGGCAGTTTCTTGGGAAGCGGCTTCAACAGGGACTTCGACGGCAACTTCTTGTTCAGTGGCGGCAACTGGAGACAAATATTCATTGGTTGGCAATTCATTGACATCGCGACGACGACGATAACGGATGCGACGCACGGTCTTGTAACGATAGCCATCATCGGCCAAGACGGCTGATTCTTGGGAAGCAGCTTCAACAGGGGCTTCGACGGCAACTTCTTGTTCAGTGGCGGCAACTGAAGGCAAGTATTCGTTGGTTGGCAATTCGTTGACATCACGACGACGACGATAACGAATGCGACGTACGGTCTTGTAACGATAACCATCATCAGCCAAGACGGCAGTTTCTTGGGAAGCAGCTTCTACGGGAGCTTCGACGGCAACTTCTTGTTCGATGGCATCAACTGGAAGCAAATATTTGTTGGTTGGCAATTCGTTGACATCACGTCGACGACGATAACGTATGCGACGCACAGTCTTGTAACGATAACCATCATCGGCCAAGACGGCAGATTCTTGGGAAGCAGCTTCTACAGGAAATTCAACAGGTGCTTCGACGGCAACTTCTTGTTCAGTGGCGGCAACTGAAGGCAAGTATTCGTTGGTTGGCAATTCGTTGACATCACGACGACGACGATAACGAATGCGACGTACGGTCTTGTAACGATAACCATCATCAGCCAAAACTGCGCTGTCTTGGGCGGCTTCAACAGCTGGTTCCTCGACTGCTACAGTTTCCTCAGTGGCGGCTGCAGTTTCGGTGCTTGGGGGCAAATATTCATTGTTCATTAATTCGCTTACATCGCGACGTTGTCTAAACTTAAGTTTACGTACAACCTTGTAGCGATAACCATCTTCGGCAATTGGAGCGACTTCGGCATTCACTTCTGGTGCGATATACTCCTGAGTTATCAGGCTATTATCCACCACGGGTGGTAAATATTCGCTGTTTATAGAAGCTGCGGATGCAGCTGCTATGGCAGCAAAGGCAAAAACGAAGAATCTCTGCAATAAATAAATTCATTAAATATGGTGTAATGTCGGTAATATCTTCGAAATCCTCAAAATATATTTTATTGTACGTACCATTCTACTTAAGACCAAACAACTTAAGCTATGAAAGACAAGATGGGTTATGATTTGTTCTCATCGCAATATTTAATATTTATACTTTAGATTGATGAGAAGAACAAATGACCTTATTTTGTACAGTGTTTATTTGTGATACAATTAAAATCACTAATCCATAAATTTCGCCTATGAAAGGCCCCATAAAACTGCTTGGCCAATCACTTGGCTGGGTTGTTAGATTAGATTGTTCATCGTGGACAATAAACTTCGCCGATATTCTTATTGATATGTTTTTTATGTTTTCTGTTTGGCTCATCTCAATTGTGTGGGTCTGTCGTATTGTTATGATGATGATGGTGGTGATGTGCGGATAAATGCTATAATAGACGTTTTCAATTATTTCCGGAAATATTTTTTTTATAAACCTTTCATTTTTTAACCAATTCAAGTTCAAGTATGATCGTTGTTGTATATGAAAAAAAAAATGTTTAGGAGTTATTGATATTATAGACCATAACTATCTAAATATTCATTTTTTCAGAATGGCAGGGTATTATGGCAGGGTATTATGTTTGTAACAGGCAAAAATAATCGAGATAGACACATGATTCCTTTTGAGAATATGCATAGAATCACTTTCTGAGTCGATTTATGCATGTCCGTCCGTCCGTCTGTCTGCCCATGTTAAGTTGTAAACAAAGTACAGGTCGCATTTATGATTCGAATTGGATGAAATTTGGCACAGCTCATTTGCTTGGCTCAAGGACGACCCCTATTGAAATTGGGAAAAATTGGTTCAGATTTATATATAGCTCCCAAATATATATTTTCGTCCGGTTTAAGGTAAATGGTGTACCAAAGTCCCTATATATCATTCGATTTGGACGAAATATCGCTGAATTAAGTCTAGAATGATGTGTGCAAAGTTTCATGAAAATCAGTTCAGATTTACATATAGCTCCCATATAGTCTCGCCCGATTTTAGGTAAATAGTCCACTAAAGTCCCTGGAAATCTTTTGATTTGCACGAAATTGAGCATAGCGTACTGATTTGCGTCTATAATAATGTGTGCTAAGTTTCATGAAAATCGGTTCAGATTTAGATATAGCTCCCATATATATTTTCGTCCGATTTATGGTAAGTGGTGTACCAAAGACCCTATATATCATTCGATTTGCACGAAATTTGGCATAGTGTATTGAATTGTGTCTATAATGATGTGTGCTAAGTTTCGTGAAAACTGGTTCAGATTTGGATATAGCTCCCACCAAAGTTGCTGAATCCCAGTTTTCCCAACAAAAAAGTATGGGAACTGATGAGGATCAGTGACGAGATTCCAAAACTATAGTCTTGCTTACCTCACCCCTTTGTGGACAATGCCATACTTCCCCCACTAATATATAGTTCTTTTTATAAGGAATTGTGGAGAAAATCGGTTAAGATTTAGATATAACTCACGAAACTATATCGTCCGATTTTATGTAAATTCAGCACCATTCTGCCAATGTTTATCCGATTGAGACAAAATTTTGCACAGCGTACTTAATTAAGTCCTGTTTGATGTCTGTGAAATTTTTTTTTAAATCGGGTCAGATTCAGATATATCTCCCATATATTGTTTCGTCCGATTTTAGGTAAATGGAGCATAAAAGGCCCAAGGTTTTTCCGATTGAGACAAAATTGTTCACATCGTACTGAATTAAGTTCAGATTGATGTCTGTGAAGTTTTGTTGAGATCGGTTCAGATTTAGGCATAATATATATAGTTTCGTCCGATTTATATATAGTTTCGTCCGATTTAATGTAAATAGTGCACCAAACTCCCAATATTTGGGTATTGATGTCTGTGAAATTTTGTTGAATTCAGTTCAGATTTAGTTCATATTTAGATATAGTTCCCGCATATAGCTTTGTCCGATTTTAGATAATTGGCCCACTAAACTCCCAATTTTTGTCCGATTGAGATAAAATTTGGCATAACGTATGGAATTGAGACTAGGATAGAGTGTGTTAAGGTCCATCGAAATCGGATAATATATAGCCCCCATATATAGCTTGGCCCGAATGGTCCACTAAACTCCCATTTTTTTCCAATTGAGACACAATTTGACATAACGTATGAAATTAAGATAGGGATAGAGTGTGTTAAGTTTAATTGGAATCGGATCAGATAAAGATGATACAGCAAACTCCAAAGGTTTATGCGATTGGAACAAAATATTGCGCAGCGTACTGAGTTACGTACAGATAGACTTATGCGAAGCTTTGTTGAAATAGGTTCAAATTTAGATATACCTCCGATATATATTTTCGTCTGATTTTATGTAAATGGTTCACCGAGGAACCTACGCCTGTTCCATATGTGCACTGTGCTGCAGCATATCAAATGGTATATGCCACGGTTGCTTAATTAAGTCCAAATTTACATACATACATAATTTTGCTCGGTTTCATACAAATGGTACACTAAGGAATTGAAGCCTCCCCGATTGACCAGAAAAATTTCATAAATTTTAGAATCCATATTTCAGCAGTTTTCGATTTATCCTCGATGCATTGCTCCCATTTCGATTTGTTTTTATGACCCTCACAATAAATTATGCATCCGGTTTTTATCCGAGTCTTTACATTAATATTTGGCATGTGACCATTGAAATCTCAAAACTGGGGCGGGGTCTTAATATGGAGGTTATGTCGAAACATTCTTAAAATTCTTTGCAACAATGGTTTTCCCCATTCTCCAGAAAATGGGCTATGAAATTATAGTTCCTTCAATTGGAAAATATGTTGAAAATCTTCAAAATTCCCATAAAAAACGTCAGATCCTTTATATGGGAGTTATGTCACAATATGGACTTATATCGAAAAATTTCTTTGATGGAAAATTTTGAAAAGATGAACCGGAATGCTACAGCTCCATTGGGGGGAGCCATTATATGGTGGCCATATAAACACAATAACTTTTTTGGATATTTTCTGCATAAATATTTCTCTGTAAACCAGGACCAAACCAAATTACAGATATTTTGGTTGCAAAATGCATCTAAACCCTTACAAATGGCGAATATGGAACCAGACTTTTATATAGGAGCTATGTCAAAACATGCACTCATATCGATTTTTTTCTGCATATATGTATGTCAAGAACCAAGTTTTGAAGTACCAAGTTACAGCTCCCTTTGGTTGGGAAATGCGGCTAGATCCCTCAAAATGCCTAAATTAGGGCGGAGCCTTACATGAAGAGGCTATACCAAAACGTGAACCGATATATCACATTATAAATGCCGAACATCTTAGAAATAATAGCAATGTGTGTGTTTGTAAATTTCAACAGGCAGATGGACATGACACGGCTAAATTGTTATTTTAATTAGTGCATACTTTTAGGCGTTTTAAATAAAATATTTGAGTTTTCCTCAGGGGACTAGGGACTAGAGTCAAGGATTCAATGATTTTGTAATTGTAGATTTGAGCCTCTGCAGATGGTCAGGACACGGCTAAATTATAATTTTAAGTAGTGCATACCTTTAGGTGTTTAAAAAAAATGTTTGATTTTTTCCTCAGGAACGGGTTACAGGCGGAAAGGTATACACCACATATAGTACTTACGTATCCTATTATTTCCTAATTCAAGGGACATTTGTCAAATAATAGTTCTAAAATATATTCCATCCCAATGATTGTAATCCCTAATACAAAAAATCTAAATATAATTGCTAGTGGATATATATCCAGTGATTGGATTATTTGCCAATGACAGAATGTCCAAGTACTCAGTCCAAAATATGTACGTGTGTGCATGAATATGCAAACACAGACCTACTTAAATGTGAGACGTCTGTATGTCTGTCTATTCGGTTGCCGGGATGTAAGCGTTTTGCATGCGTTCGTAGAAGAGTAAATATAATAAATTGATAAATTTATTGAATACACATGGCCAGCATTATTATGTCCGACTGACTCATCATCGTCATCATCACAAGAGAATGGCCCAGACATATATACACACACAAAAATTATTGTATTTTTATTGACAGTTTGAAAGGACAAACCCTAAAAACATCTACATTCACTTAACGGCAAAAATATGAATCGAACTGGCTGAGTGAGTGAGTGACTGACTGAATGAGGTTCATCGGAATATACAATTGTCAATGTTTGGTTACTACTACTTGTACTGGCTGTCCGTCGTCTGTCTGGCTGACGGCCGACTTGCAATTTCTGCTCCATTGCAAACTGCCACTGGTTGGACATTAAAATTCAATTGAATGCGAGTGCAAATTTAATTCCCAAAACTCCCAAAAGCATAAAGTAAATTATTTCAATTAAAAATTGTGTCCAGTATATTCGTATTCACAGAAAATGTGTAGCCTCCGAGCCCCTGCACAACTGAGTGTGTGTGTGTACGTACGTGCGTATGCGATATGTATAAATGGTTGGGGTATGTGTGTGTGCGTCGTTGTGCGTGTATTGATATTGCTGACCACATCCTTTTTTGCCAATTCCCAATTTTTTTCCACTTCCACTCTTTCCCTAAATGTTTGTGTGGCATATTTAAATATATATATGTGTGTGTGAGAGAGTACGTCTGTGTGCATTTTGTGTAATTACAACTCTATCATAGAAATATGTTTAAACAAATGTCCTGTAATAAGTACAACAAATATTGCAACATTGAGAGTATATCTTTCACCCTGACCAATATACAAACATAAATGCAATGCAATTTTCTTTTTTTCTCTCCTCCATCTCTTTCGACTGTGCCTAAGGGGATCGTGTGCGATTCGGATTTATGCAACTACAGTTGGGGTGAAGGAAATAGCAGTGCTAAGAAGAAACTTTAAAACCACTTTTTTATTTGATAAAAATAATTGTAAAACCAGTGAGTGGAGCAGTATAGTCGGACGGAACCGACCATACGATACCCTACACA